AATTATCTAAAACTTAAATGAATGTCTTCTATTTTAAATCCAAACCCTTTTAAATATTTTGTTTGCCCTTCAAAGCATCTTTAACACTACAAAATTACTAATTATGTTATTGTTAACTTCAAAGTTACGTTGATTAAAATTAAAATAAATCTCTTAAATTGAGATGACCCACTATCATAACTGTCATAATTTATCTTAGATGAGGTTATGACGTTTTCACGACTTTCGTGTACCCTATTTGAAAACATTTGAAGTTTAATCAATTAAATCCGAGATTAAATCATTATTTAACATAAATTGAATTTTTTTTTAATAAGAAACAAGTCGCAAATTATCTATGTCAATACATATTACAAAATAAGAACCTAAGTACTTATACAAATATTTTGGGAAAATTTATCGTTATCACAGTTATTGAAATATAACAAAAACATAAAACCGATTTATTGAAATACTGGGTTTTGTATACCAATTCCTAAATCTTTATTCCCTAATTTCCCTAATTTATTTTGTATTATTATATTTTCCCCAATATTTTGAAAAATAACTGGAAATTTACTTTTATGTTTTGATTACCTAATTCTAAAATTTTAATTTAATTATATTTATATCTAAATTATTAATTCCATATGAATACAGAAGAAACACCTTTCTGTTACCTTTTTTTTTTCAGTTTTTAACCGACGACGCCACCATCGTACTTTTCTGTTACCTACCTATACTCCGGTTATAGGACTTATATTTGGATTGAAATGCTCAAGACTACTTTTTTTCGATTCGTTTTTTACTTAATTTTTGAGCTCTAACTCACGATGTGCTTTACTATAAAGAATGTTAAATATAATAGCAGGTATAAATGTATATTGACTAATGACTATCTGATTTTAAATAATATAATCAGTATTTTTTTTTACTATATTGTATTTTCAAATTAAAATGTATAGAAAATATAAGTAAATGATTGTCTTAATTCAATGCTCACGAATACGTTTAATTAATATTCCGTGTAGGTACTAATTCCCGACGTACCTATACACTATTATAAAACATATTATTATACTATAATTTATAATATAGTAGGTATGTATGTATGTATGTTGACTATCTAATTTAAAATCATACATCAGCAGGTATTGTATTTTACAATACTGTACCTAATGTATTTTACTACTAGCAATTTGTATTTGTTTGTTTTTTATCAATAATTAAATATTGCAGTATGTATATTGTACATATTCTAAATACACTATTTAATACCTACAAAGAAAAGCTGTTACATGGAGTAAATGGACACTTCGGCTTGATTGAAAGCTATAGGTCAGGTTGACAAGTTACTTCAAATGTTTTCTTTTTCATCCATGCAGGATTCAGTTGTTTTTTTTAGCTTTTAGTTATACTAAGATTTCAGTTTAATAATAAAGAAGGTCTAGGCCATATTTTACGCTTAAGCCGACGAATTGGATTGTCAGTGAGAGTGATGGAAGTAGCTATAACATTATAGCAGTTATACATAAGCATAACGCTTAACCTCTGTCAAAAATTAAATTATTTATAACTCAGAATGATTTATTTCTCAAAATATACCTCTACAATAGTACAATATTTCAATTCTCGTTGCATGATATTACAAATAATTACTAACGCAACGTGTAGTATAATATTCGATTGCTTTTCCAATAACTCAGGTTTATTTACAATGTTATAAAATTAGTGAATGTGATTAATGGTAACAAATACTAACAAAACGATTCTTAGGTTATTGAAAAATCATATTAATACTAGTGTAGTATAACATTTTAATGAATGCCACCAACGTTTAGCAATAAACACTCAGACTGAGTGTACCAATAAATAACAATAGATTTTCTTTTTTCGTTAAAACGTTTCATTATATATACAGTGTAACAACTTACAAGTTACAATAATCCTTAACCTTGGATTGCTATCTAATTAATTTTAAGTCTTGTTGAAAATTACAAATAAAATATGTCAAATATGTATGTTGTATTACCTATATAATAACGAAGATTGAATACAATACAATGGACAATAATTAATATCAATTTTATTAATTCATACAAAATAACAGTATAACTATTTTTACTTCATTTTACTATCGTTTGATTTAAAATAATAGTTTTTTAGTAATATTAAAAAATATAAAATGAGATATTATAAAAGCTACAAATACATTTCATCCAACTAATTTGAATAATCTTAAAATGATTGAATTCAGTCACTAGCCAACAAATTTATTTGGTTCGTATAAATATAATATTAATTAATATTTTTATTTTTGAAGTATAATTTGTAGCTAAAAAGCATAGACGGTCAATACTCAATGTAGATAAATACCTATATACTTAATAATAACTAATAATAACACAAATACCAAATCTATATATGGGATATGCTGGTATATTTAATATATTATTATCTTTATAGTTGATTTTAATACATTTTCGTCCAATGTGTCAATCATAATATCGTACTATTTTAAGTTACTAGACATGAGAACAAAAATTGGTTTTAATACTGACTTGTAAATTGTATGTAAAATTATACTTGAATACTCTGATATAGCGGAAAGTATGAATTATAAAATATACCAATAATAAAAACTACTATTTTATCGTGAATTAGGAACATTAGAGTGATATTGTTATTCTGTAGTTAAAAAAACTGCATAATATTATATTATATATGCAGAAACAAATTACGATTTTTCCACATGGACCAACACCTGTTGATTTCTTGGTGCAGATATGAATTATTTATGGTATGAAATATTGGAATGTTTGAATATATTAATAAATTGATAGGTACAAATGTAATATTGACTGAATTAAATAGATTTTATTTTTAACTTCAAATAGAATAGCATATTATTATAATATTATACAAGACGTATAATTTACTGGGAAGTGTGACAGTGTAAGTAATTGTGTATAATAATAGTATATTTTCGTCTTTCTTTTAACTTAATATTGCTAAGTAAACATCAAATAATTACCTAACTTTACAGTTTTAACATTACACAAAATATATTATAGTGTGAGTCTATGGTATATTTAGCTAAATTTAAATTTATCATATTTTACAACAATACGAACAAAAAGTAAGGATTATAGATTTTCAAATATAGTTAGTTCAAACAAGTTTTTAATTTTGTATGCAATAAGTCAATAATCTTCAAAATGTTTGAAAATTATGATGTATACATCAAAATATCAAACACATTAGATGGCATAACATATAATTATATTATTATTATTATAAATTGTCGTTAAGATTAATAGATACTAGATAGGTACCTAATGTTTTAACTCTAAAGCTACTTCAATATTTTAATGTTCTTGCATAATAGGTATTATAGGTACAGACTTTTATTTTCTACTTTTTTTTTATTATTGAACATATTTTTAAATTATTTAGAAGTATCGGAATCTATGATTATTGATTACTTAAATTGTTCACACATATGATTTACATAATTAATGACAAGCTTAAACATATTTGATATTTTTAATAAGTTTAATAATTTAGCAACACTATAATATCATCAATCTATAGGTACAGTTAAATTAAATATTGAAGTTACTTATTATGTTTTTATACATGATTTATCTATTCATATTTTAAATCTAACATAATATACTATTATATCATACCCAATTATATATTGTAGTGTATATAAATATTATAGTAATAGGTTCAATAAAAATGATAATTTTTTTTCTTTTTATGAATGGTCTTATTCAGATTAGGTATAATAATTTTTTTTGTGGTACACCTATGTATAAATCATTATTGCGATATAGGTATTATACTATGTATATAAATATAACATAATCTTAAACTTTTAGAAAGTGTACCTAGTATGCCTTGGTCAGGGGCGTCATTTGGGGCTGAAGTATGCATTTGCCTAACCTCAGATTTTAAAGTAGCTTTGGGCCTGCTGTCAGGTCAACATGGACTTAACCTGCCCTAGAGTAATTACGGGCCGTGAAACAACATACAAATCTTCATGAATCGACAATGATTTACCAGTAATCTACGGTAAGAGTACAATTGTATCAAATAGATATGTTGAGATAAAGAAAACACGGTATATTATTACCTGTTTATTATTGTTCTATGTTATTACTTAGTAGTTAGTATCACGATTTAAGATATACTGGTTACTCATCACCCTATAGAAATTGGTCTCCAGAGTGATGCCTACAGTCTGTTGACTATCCAAAAATCAGCCTTTCAGCATAGGAAGAATCACAAGTACAGCTTTCAGTGTATATAATTATAACATAATATAATGGTAGGTAGGGGACGATCGAGCGAACCGCTTTTTTTAGATTCGTACTTAAAATGTGTATACATACTAGGTCGGCAATTCTTATGCCTGCCCTGACATATATTGAAATGACGCCCCTGGGCTCTTGATCCAAGTCTTGACATTCGTTAGTACCTAAGGTAGGCATATATTACATAACGAAAAATATAGCTGTGAAAATGTTTTCTCAAGATTATTTTACTTGTAGTTTATAAAAATAATAAGCTATTTATTAAATACAAAAACAAACCATGTATACACTTGTATAAAAGTTAAGTATGAATACAAATCGGGGATTTTCATCAAGGAAACGATTAGATTTTCAACTGGCCGAAAAAAGTTTTGTATGCATTGAAGGCATTTGTACAATTTCAAACTATGCATGCATATCCGTCACTCTACATACTCAAACGTCCAGAGTCCAGACATACGAAAAGCGAACATAATATCTGGTTGGAGTGATCACAATAATATACCTACGTGAGTTATCCAATAACAATAATAATCATAAAAATAATAAATATCATTAGTAATCTCGAAGTCATAGCTATCTGAAAAAAGAATTAACCATCAAGTGGACGATTAAAGTGATAGTAATAATAAATAGGTAATAATATTATTAAAGTAATTTATAATCGTGGCGTGTCGCGAGTAAAGGTCAATCACTCACCTCGATCACGATAATTTCGTCGTTAACAAAATAGGAAAACGCATAGGGGCGCGTGGCCGGCAGTTAATCGTGTCCGACAGCCGTGTCGGTAGTGGCGAGAGCGCCGGCAGTGGCGGCAGCTGTGGCTCACACCGGTCAGCGGCCTAGTCGCGAACGCGGCGCGCGCGACCGGTCTGTGCCGGAGGCGGCGGTAACGCGCGCGCCAAGAGCCTGACCCGGGCGGGACGGTATTGGCGCGCGCGGGAACGGCGGCGGACGGAGGAGTTGCGAAAAGAGTTCGCGGAAAAACACTCGTTGCCGCGTTATCGTCGTCGTCGGCGTAGTCGTCGTCGTCGTCGTCGTAGTCGTCGTCAGCGACAACGTTGTCGTCGGCGGTGGTGGCGGGAAGCGCGCGCGCCACGGACGGCGAGCAAGGCGAAAACAAAAACTCCGCTCGTGCCCAATCAATAACTCGTGTTTTTCCGCGGACGTTTTGCGCTTATTGAAAGATTAAAATAACCGAACGAAGACCAAAAACTGACATGCACCGCGAATATCTTACGCGGTCGGAGCGACAGGACGGAACGATCACGCGAGACAGCGATAAGTGCACCACCGATAAAAAAAAAAGTCCAGCGGTAGATAAATAAATTATATTGCAATATTCCGCACCGAAACGAATTACAAAATAATAATAACAGCGATATAATTAATTTTATAGTTGACGGACGACGCTATGTGGCCGCGGCGACGGACGTTGGAAAACGGTCGAAAACGATACGACTATAGTGTTATAATAATAATAATAATAATGTACGGCGTCGTGTCCACGTGCGTGTAAGTACGGTGGCGGGCGCGCGTGCGTGTGGGTGCGGTGAGCGGCGCACGGGTAAAAGGCGGCTGCCGCCGTTCAACACGAAACGGTATAATCACACCGACTGCGAAACTTCGACTGGAAAAACTTTTACACGCGCTATCTCTGTCGCACGCCGCCGGCACCCCTTCCGCGCGCGGCCCACCGACGATCCCTTGCATCGGTCCCGCGCGCCGCCGCCGCTGACTACCCCTCACACCCACCCCACGTAGCAGCGGCGGCGGCGGCGGCGGCAACGACGACGACGACGACGACGAGCGGCGCTGCACTTTATCCAATCTTTTCCATTTCCCGTTTTTGTGTCCAGACCGAACGTTGCCCTCCCCTTCCGCAGCCCACCCAGCACCCGAAGCCGCCGCCGCCGATTGTCCCGCGCGCGCCGAAAGAAATTACTTTAAACAGCAACAAGCCCCCCTCCACCTCTCGTCGCGCGTGCCGTCTCCTACCAACCCCGCCGCCGCTACGTTTGGCTCGTTCGCGGACTTCGACTTTTTCCTCGCTTTTCTTTTCTATATTCGTTAGAGTTTTTTCCTTTTTTTCTTTTTCTCCGTTCCGCTCTTTTTACTCCGTTCCTCGCGCTCCCCATTCTTTTGAGCCCCTCGCGCCCGTCGAACTTTTTATCCGCCACAGCCGCCACCCCCTCGGCCCAAGACACTTAAACATCGCGATCTTTTCGACGACAGACACACTGCTGCTTACGCCATTCTAGAGCACGTCTGTGTGTGTTTTTCACGATTTCAATCATTTGATCCGTATTATCGGAAACTTGGACAGGGAATCTTGGGAAAATAGTATTATAAATATATCATACACGATGAAATTGGCGCTAATTACAAAACACAGATCAACAGACGCTCTAACGCGCGAGAGTAAATAAAGTACAAATGTATAACATAGCTGCGGACTGCGGTACCTATAAATAATATTATAATAATACGGCGCGCTCGTGCAAAGTGAGAGAGAGGGTTTGATTGTAATTATGATTGTTTTTTATGTATACAATAAAATATTACAATTGGTATAAGCTACATCGTTTAATACCGAAATACAATATTACAGCAGAACTGAGATCTGTGATTGTCGCTTCGAAAAGAGTGCGTGACTTTTAGTGGCCGCGGAAAAGTTGCCGAGCGAGTAATGATATCCGAGCAAGCCGTGATGTATATAGATATATATATATATATAGAACGTAGCACTCCACTGCCACCACTGCTGCCGCCTCTCCTGTGCGCAAAGCTCAATGACGGCGAAGTTTTGATTGCTTTCACCCCGCGACACTTCGCCCGCCTATCCTCCCCGACACCCTGCAGAGTATAAATACGTATATATTTTTCTTTCTACTTTACTTTAGGGTTTTTTCTTCTTTTCTTTTATTTATTTTTACACGAAAAAATATGAAAAAAGTTGCCGAGTAAAACTTTATAAATAATTTGATGGCCCGTCGTCGTTTTCCGCCCACTTTTTTTTTACTCTTTTTATACGGACCAAAGTTTTCGCTGAATGGATTTCTTGTAAACTTGAAAAACTACGGACTCGATTAGACGTGGAAAAGTCGTTTACAAAACATATTTGTTCATCAAAGTTTGCCGTAACGTTGGCGTAAACGTTTTATAGGCACGCCGCCGCCGAGTATGCGCATGCAATGATCGATTTCCATCTAATGTCTGGACGGTTCGTATATATACGAATTTAAAGCCGTCGTTTGAAACAATAAGTGCGCCTAATTTGTTTGTGAAAAGTTTATTTAAAAACTTTTAACGACCACCCGAACAATAATTACTCGGTATATCTAATATTATATCGTTGGAACGCTGAGTGTATAGTAAATACTAAATACTAAATACCTTCCTACCATATTAATAAAACGTGTTAAGAGTGTTAAGACCAGAGGATTCTCGTTTCAATGCGTACGAAATAATTATCGTCTGATGTTATAATTTTAATCGTTATCGGCTTCACTTTTGTAAAAAATATTTTTACATGATTATGTGGTAATTAAATTCTAACCACGGTTATTATATTAATTTCTAATAATAATCAAAATATTGATTATTATAATTAGTTTTAGTTTTATCACTAGATAGGCATATTTTTTCTTGTAAATCATATGCATTATTTTATATTATTTTTAAAATATCATTATATCAATTATACTCATTAGATGTAGCTTTATATGGTGTGTACTGTGTATTATGTGTAAGATGTATTTTATTATTCACTGTGATATGAATTGAGATGATATATTATATCGTATATATTAAACGAATAAATAACAAAATAAAACATAGGAAACAATTGTAATATAAAATTATGCAATAATCTAAAATATAAGTATAGATCATTTCAATATAGAAAAAATCGTTATCACCCAGTAATTAAGTCATCATCTACTAGGTGACAAAAAGTTTTCTCTGGGTGACATTTTTGTCACCCAGTATTTTAGTTAAATTATCTACTGGTGCTTATTGATTCTGAATTACTTACTGTGAACCATGAAACGCCTTATTCTGTAAGTAATGTGAAAGTCTGAATTGAATATTATAATTCACGAATCACTATTATTGTAGTATCCAAACCAAATGGTTATAAATAATATATATGTCATTATAATCATTAGGTACTCATTTAAATTCGACTTTAGCGATTTCTTTATTATTTATTAAAATGTACACATGTTTATTATATACTTAGCCGTATTACCCAACTCCAACCGGTTAAAAATGATATCTATCCATCCATCGTTTTTCGTTATAGTATTATGATACAATACAATAGTATGTGAAAACCTTGTCAAAATAGGTTTATCGGGCTTTATTCGTTTTTACTATTTTACTAACAGATTGATACAGCCAAATATATCTATCCATGTTCCATGTAACATTACATTTAACTTTGTACTTTTAAGAATCACAGTGTATACATTTTGAATATTATGTGATGTGCAAGATAAATACAAAATAAATAGTAAAAATAAGATAGTAATTAATTGCAAATGAGTCAATTTTCCAAAGCTGTGCGTTAAACAATGTTTTTATCATGTTGTTAGTAGAATGTAAGTACAATTTGTATGCATAGGGTGCCTATAAAAAGGCGGCATATAACTTACGTAAAGTAACTTGTAAATGCAAAATATCGAATAGCGTACTATGGTTTTTTTTTCTGTAACCTGCAATGGCTACTCTGTAATATAAGCAAAAAATATACGATTTTTGTCATTAGCTGAAATGAAATTCATTTGCGTATCAACATATTATAATAGCCTATAGGGGTTGAATTTCTTGGTGAAAAGAAGCCTATAGCCTTAGACTGTAAGGACGCATAGAAAAATTTTGATCAAAAATAGATCGATCCATTTTAAGATTAGGTACCCTGCACAAAAATGCATTTACCGCTGTATAATATATTAGTATAACTTTTAAAATTGTATCTACATTAGTTATACCTAGTTAGGTATATACATACTACAGGGGCGGATCCAGAAATTCATCAAAGGGGGGGGGGGGGGTAATAAAAATATATCCATCAGATACTATTCATACATACTTAATACCTACTTAACCTGTGGTTTGATTCTGACAACCCGTATCATGTTTATCAACATTTCCTACAATTTTTTTTATCAAAACAAAAAAATTCAACCGACATTTTTTTTTTAAATACATTTATAAAATTTAAATATAATAAGCTCAAGGGGGGGGGTATTTACCCTTTTACCCCTCCCTTGGATCCGCCACTGACATACTATAAAATAAATTATTCAACGTTCTTTATAAACAATATAATATTATATTTCATTTCAATAGTAAAATATTATAAACTCTTTATTCCCTAATTCTTTATACATCCGACTCGACCAATCGTCGCATCACAATACCACATACACTCATGATTCACTCAAAGTGATAAGCATACAAACTGAGATTTATACCAGGGTTAAGAGGATTGCACATTTGACACCAGCTTTCCCTTGAAGCCTTTACAGTTCGAACGATAGACACCTGTTGGCTACTGGGCTGTTACACATTAACGACTGTACAACCCCACCCTTTAACCCTTAAACCTATTCTCGTCACTTGAACATTAAAAAGTACGGTTCACCCGAATCCAAGTAGTGCACCCAAAACCTCAAAATAGGTGCAATGGAGCTAGTATAAAGTATATTATAGAGTATAGGTTTTATTCGTAGATACGTTTCATTATTTCACACTATTACTATAAAATGATTTGTTCATAAGCATAGGTTTTACACATATCCCATTATCGTATATTAGCCCAAACTATTGTTCCTAAACTAAAATAATGTATTAGTATACAATTTCAAGAGTAATTAATAAGTAATTCAACATTTTTAAATGAATGTATTGTGTATACATTAAGTACATATTTTGTTAATGTATACACAATACATTAATTTTAAAGTACATATTTTGTTATAGGTAAAAAATTAATGTCATAGTTTGATTTATATCAAGAGATACACTTTGGATTTTTTTAGAACTAAATTATTACGGCACAGTAATGCAGGTAGTAAATAATTGTATAACTCAATAATGAATACAACAAGAACTTATTTTTTGAACAATAAAAACAACAAAAATAAAGTAAATAACCATTATATAATATTCTCAATAATTGAATAATCTAATGTAACTTGTAAGTAGTTATACTTATACCTATACGCCTTCGTGTGGTAGAAATAATATTTATTAACTTATCATCTTCATTTTTCCGACATAATGAAGTATTGGGTGTATAGTCTGTTGTTAGTTGCAATGGGTTCACCCAAGATACTTATTTAAATGCACTTAGTTTTGAAAGTTTTCGCAATAAAGACACACACACATATTATTATACACATGTTTGCATAAATTTAAAGTTCTACGCGTATTTACGTATTTCTGAACTCTTCCATCCCTCGTTAAGACCAGAACCATAAAATAAGTTTGAAACTTGTTGAAACTAATCTCATGAAATTTTTTTTGAGTCGCAGACAGTTAAATACTTAGTTTTATTTTATGAAACCTTTACTTTATGTAAACTTTTAAGCATACGAAACATTTCTAAAGAGTTATTATTCTTATTTTTTTTTTAAATATCGAAATGTGTACAACTATACAAGTTATACGAGAGAAAACTTTTTCAACTACGTTGGTTACTTTAAGTTTTATTATACCTGCATAGATACCTAGTACCTTCCTATATTAATTCGTAGATACTATCTATATACCTACGTTACACATATACTTCTCAATTCCTGCCCAACAACGTTTACAGTACACAAAGTACAGTATATACACTCTCTTTCTCACACACATTCACACACATACACAAATATGTTGCTTGGTAAAGCTGTGTGTGTTAAGTACTCTAAAAGAAAACCAAGTACCTACCTATACCATAATTTCAATAATATTTATAGCTTAAACTTAAACCCAAAAATATAAACAGTGAAAACAGTGAAAACTGAAAATAATCACCGCGGTCTTCAATGTTAAACGTTCTTGGACCAACGCTGCAACTTCTCGAGGACTAACTCTTTTGGTGGTTTTAAGTATTGTTCAAAAACAAATGGTACCTAACGTCAAAATATTTCTCAGATGATCTCACTTAGTTTAAACACAAGAAATTCATGGAGGATAAACAATAATTATACCGTCTGTATTTTTTATTTATGTTCGTCGAATCTTAAAATATGTTCACATATTATTCACTATAATTTAAATTTTACCTATAATATAGTCACAGTATTATTTAATGAATTAAAGGCTAAAGCAAGCTTATCAAAAATCAAGCGTTTCTTATAGATTGATATATTTTGTTATTTGACTATTCATTAAAATGATCCGACTTGGTAGATCTGAAAATCCAATAATTTTATAAATATCAGAAATAACAGGTAACATAATATTTATTGGAAAGATTTTATTACTTGTCTTATGGACTATGCCTCTGCTATAGAATATGCATATGAGTGGACTGTTCTTAAAAAAAAAAAAACTGTAAAACGATACATATTTTTTGAATAACTGAAAATCTATTAAGAATATTATTGTTATATTTTTAAGTATATGTACCTAACTTTATATATTTTATGCTACAAAAAAAGTAGGTGTGAAAAATATGGTTTTACACTGTGTCATACGTGCACCCGAAAACTCGACAAAAAAACAAAACTGCTTGCATTTCGTCGCTCGCTTGGGGACAGGTTGATTAATCAGCAGTATAGTCAGAATAGATATTTCAGTTAGAAAAACTATAGGGGATGTTGTGTTCAATTGCCAATCTGTTGATATCAAAATTAAAAATTGTGTTAGGAAACACAGAAATAATCACAACCTGTATATTAGATTTTTTGAAATCCGAGACCCAAAATTGTTAAAACCATGTACATTTCAAAATTATGAGCCCAAATAGCTTAAAAATATATTTGCAAAATTTTATTCAAAGACATTTGAAGTTCAAATGTACGTGAAATATTATTTATACACAAATCTATGCACATATAAGTGATAATAGATAACTTCAATAACAATACAATGTAAGTATAATCATTATTATGGTAAATAACTGTTGTATTTTGAAATATCCTAAACGACCTAAATTGACTGTCTGTCTTCCCTCATAATCTAAAATAATTTAATGAATCAGGTCAAAATGGTCAAATTCAATAAATACTAAATAATATTCAATATCAATTTATATCCGAAGAATAACTTAACGTTACTTCTTAACGCGATTTGACATACACTTAAGGTCTTATGCCGGCGTACCCTTCATCACCCGTATAAATGTTTTCATCGTCCACCTGTTTTCGATCATAATAAATAATTATTATTTAGTGGTTTTAAATACTTTTAATTAGTGTATTCGATTTCTATTGACATTCCTTAGCTACTGATAGTCATGTTCCCATATTTTCCATTGACTTGGTCTATCTATGTATTATGTATATTTAATCAATGGTAGTATAGTACCGGAGAACTAGTGAGGTCGTCACTGCAGGGTCACCGTGTGGAACCGAACTAGCGGTGAATTCGTAGTTGATTGTTTAGTTTTATGTTAAGCGTTGCAGTTAAGTATATTCAAGTATTTGTCCTTTATTTAATGGTGTCGTCAACTATTTGATAGCTTAGCATCAAAGAAGTTAACATAAATATTATAAGTAGGATTTGTAACCAGAAGGACGTAGTCTGACGAGTTGTGAGGGATCTGGACTTGGTCCGCCAGAGGTCATGCTGAGGCGGTTGCGTTGGGTAGCGGGCCGTGCGCTCTGGTGGTCAAAGCGATGACCTCGAGAACGAGAACTCCGTCCAAAGGCGGAAGACTAGTTAGACGAAATTCGAGGCATAACTCCAGTAAACTGTGGGCCGTTCGAGTACATGATCTAGTACGTACGAATACATCTAACCGGTCCGGCTAAAGATTGGTTCACGGCGCTTCAGTTTTCCGACTGACGCATGTTTGAACAGAAGTTCAGACTTGTTTTCGTGCTCAAAGCGTGTACGGCCTAACGAGACCCTCATCTCGTATGTAGGTACAGCCCAAACTACGCACGTGTAAAGGTGTAGGACACTTGTTCGAGGTGGAAAATGATTACGTCCTGTGAAGACTGAGATCCTGAGAAATGGCTCTGTACGCTGTCGGGCGGACTCACGCTGACGAGGAGTTGCTGAGTGATTTGTCGAACTAGGAGCACATGTGTGCGTTGTATGCGCCGGCGGTTACGCCTAGGTTTTTTCTCCGCAAACCGCAAAAGGAACGCCTACCCGGGGGAAAAGACTGAAGAAAAATGTGAATGAAAAATGTTTGATAAGACTGCCGCGGTGTCGAGTGCAACCGAGGAGGACGCGTCTCTCTCCAGCTATATTGGGTCTGCAAAAAAAGTAGGACATTTGTCCCGTGATTGTCACTATAAAGCGAGTCACAAACCCGTGTACTTTGGGTGTGGAATCGAAGGGCACATTCAAACCAACTGTCCGGAAATTTACCAGTCGAACGTCGCTGAAATAAGACCACTGTCCACTAGTCATCCCTACAAGAAGGTAGGCCGCGTGAACGGTAATGAGGTGGACGTACTGCTGGATACAGGTAGTCATCATTCACTCATTAATGGGGGCGTCGCCATACCGTGTGGCTTGTACGTAAGGCGCTCCGCTCGTCCACTTTACGGGATTCGGAAGTACCACTGTGCCTTCGGTGAACTCCCTTGAGAAAGTATAGAGGCGGATGCTGTGTTTGGTGGGGTTAACCCGAGGAAGAGTCTATTGATCGTGGTGCCTGACGCTGTTAGGACCCCCGAACTGATCGTTGGACGGTCGTGGTTGGACTTGACGTTGGCGACCTACCACAAGGCCCACGGACACCTATATTTGTAGACATGATGTAGAGAAGATAACTAAGACATGGTGACACCGCTCCCGTATCTTTCAATGTACGATATTGACGCAAAAAATCACTGCAGTATGGTAGTTCAGGATTTATCACCAGAGTACGCCACCATTTGTACGAAGGCCGACCTTTATGGTTATAATATATGGTATAATCCGACAGTGGTATAATGGAGTTTTACATTTCAATTTTATTTAAGTTTTTTGATTGTTGTTCAAATGTCAATAATCTGCATGCCAAAATAATATATTTAATGTTATATTGCATGGATTACCAACTAAAATAAACCATGCTTTGGAATCATGTGCCTTAAATCGTAATAATATTACACGGTATGTAACCTGTTTATCGTACCTACAAATTGATTTATTTAAATAAAATGCATGCTTATAGTATGATATGTATATGTTAATTTATTAATTGATACATACATGTACAAAAATGGAACTAGTTATATCTACATACAATAGGTATAAGATACGAATCTTAACTATTAATAAAATCTCAAATAAGCTACTAACCTACTGACCCAACTGCCAAAGTACAACCAAATACCCAAACAAAAAGTCATGATAATTGCAAATGCATTAACTAAAATATTATTAATTTTATTTACAATCTAGAATGTATTTTATATGTGATGCAGAGAACGCGACTAGAACAAAATTGTGTGAAGAAGTGTAAACTGATATAACCGTGCAACATAATATTAATTTAGTTGTTAAAATATAAAATCATAAAACATCCTTAATTGAAACTATTTTCAATTGTACATAATTGAACAGAATAATCACTTCAAAATAATTTTTACTTGTATAATAGCTACTATAGTGATAGTCTATTCCACGAGAGAATAATCGCTTTTCGCTCATCACGAATGATTCAATTGGCGCGCAGAGAACCAAGTGATCACCGGGAAGTTGGTGGGAGATGCGCAACACTGACGATAATTGATCGGCGGACTGATTATTCTCTAGTGTAGAGGCATTCAAATTTTTTCATCCCACGGCTCCTTTAAGTCTTCACAAAATGTTGAAGGCTCCCAATTTATAAATTACAAAAAAATCAATGTTTATATGAATGTAATTTATATTTATTATTTATTTACCATATTACATATATAAAAAAAATTAAAGTTATATTGAGCGAATGATTGTTGTAGACAATTCAACGTTTCCCAACCGGTGTGCCTCAATGTCTCAATGATAATAGTAAACGTTTTTCGTAAAAATATTTATTGGTTTTCAATTATACTATGCGGCTCTTTTCGACAACTCCCGCGACGCCCCTGGGAGCCGCGACGCACAGTTTGAATACCCCTGCTCTAGTGTAATAGAGTATAGCTATTTTTAATTTAAAAAAAAAATAATAGAATCAGAAACAACAGATATGTGTGGACATTTTTAATATTTTACATAAAAAAAAATGTATTCGAAATATGAAAACCGGCCTTCGGGTGAATGGTGGAGCGCCTGCACGAGACATTTATACTCCCAAACTGCCGAGAAAATTTGTGACCGGAATGACGGATATGACGTCGTGCTGTAGTTAATAGTTATAGATTTGTGCTTTCCATACACTTCATACACTCATTAGTCATTCTCATTACTCTAGAAGTAATTATAAAAGGTCTGTGGGCAAAATCCGGTCGTCCATTTTTCCCCTAAAATTTCTATGGTAATAGTAATAATCAATTTGTCTTATCATCTTACCGTTGTATTATAATAATAATAATAATATTAGTTCACTAATTTCAACTAAAAATTTAAATTTGAATTTTGACATTACAAACTTAATATTTGACCGTGATGAACCTTTTTTTCATACTTTTTGTAAAGAAGTTTCACTTCATGTCTTCGTCCACGAGTACTAGAAATCGAAAATTCTCAGTAGTTTTCAAAAGCGTAGGAAAAAACAAAAAGAATATTTAGGAAAAATGGACATTTTTAAGCGAAGCCAAATTTTGACATTTTATGTCAATTTGCAAATTATTTTTCAATAAGAAATTGATAAAAATGTTTCTTTTCATTGTTTACATTTAAACATATTTTATTATAGAAGATCTCTCATAATAGTTTTTCTTATTTGCCCGACAATTAAGAACCTAAACTTGTAAGGATTGTGTGTGTTTTATATTATTTTACAATGGTATTTAAACAATCCTTAAATTTGCATTATTTATTAATTTAATGAATATCTATATTTATTTATAATTACTGACTTTTAATTTAAATTATAACTATTGAAATTATTGTATTTTTCAGACCTCTTGAGAAAATAATTACAATCGTTGAAAATACTTATATTGAAAAAGAAATCAACAACTGCTAATTTGTGGGAACTGGTTCTATCGAAAGGCATGATTTAGAAACAACTACTTAAAAGATATCAGACAAAAAATTTAACTTTAATTTAAAGCCTTGTGCATACCATGTATGCAATTATAGATCTGCATTCATTTTCATGTTAAAAATACATTACAGAATTCACACCAGTGAAAAGTCTTACAAATGTTATGTTTTTGATGTATCATTTAGACAAAATTCTACTTTGAACATGCCCATAATGAGAGCTCATCCGGGGAAAAACCTTATGCATGTAAAATATTTGATTATAGATTTACTACATCGTCAGCATTACATAATAGATCTCATAACAGGGAAAAGCATTATTCATGCAAAACATATGATTATATAGAGGTTCTTCATTTTCAGCCTTAAAAATTCACAATAAAACTCATACTGGTGAAAACCCTTATGCACGCACAAGCTGTAATTATAGAGGTTCTTCATCTTCAGCCTTAAGCCTTCAAAATGCATAATATGCTTTAAAACATTTTCTAATAAATTCAGTATAAGAATCCATATGAGTACTCATGGATTTCAGCCTTAATAGCTCGTTTGATCTAAAATGGAAAGTATACCACTGAAAAGTGAGTGAACGACAGCTTTTATTGTTTATTTTTCTTCTACATTGTGAACAGGAGGACAGGAAAGTACATGAATATATTAATTATAATTATATTTCTGTATCATGTTATCAAAAATATAATGAGATATAATTTATAATTTAAAATGAGTTAATCTTTTCTTGCATGTATTTTTTTAAAGATATATTTACTCATTTTAACATAGAAATACAGTTGTACAAAACAATGGTAACCATTAATTTGAATAATAAATAACATAATATTAAGAATAAGTATTACAATACCTATTTAAGTCTTGTAAGCATAAAAAAAATCGTATAACATGGTAAATGGTAGGAGTATAAAGTTGAATGTTTTACAAAATAAAAATTATAATTATATAATTATGAAAAAAAAAAAATGTAACAAAAATATAATATATAATACAATATTGTATAGAATTTACTGATATTTTTTTAAAAAAATGTATACAAAAACAAGATTATTAAAAAAATTAATAAAAATAAACTAAAAATTGTATAACTATGTAAGAAAAAGGAAGACTTAACTTATTCACAAAATGTTATTGGTCATGTTTAAATGCATTTAACACAATACATGTGTCAAATACGATTGGTTATAGTCTCAAGCATTTATGCTCTTCGTTCTTTCAACATAATTTCCTATATCATGGTCCTCCATGTCTTCGTAGGAGTTCAACAATTGATTTTCAGCTTCAGAAACAGTTGTCTTTCCCATCAATAACCTAAAAAAAATACCTTTATTTTAACATTTTATTTTATATAATTATATAAATAAGAAGTAGGTATAATAAAATATATATTTAATTAAACTCTAGAAGTGATGAAAGAATCATTTATTATACATATAATGCCATGTATTGAGTTATACGATTCATACTTAGATATTGTCGAAGACGTTGACGCTCTTATCATAATTGATGGTTCGATATCGTCTAATCCTCTATGCAAGGAAATTGTATCAAGTTCAGTTTGAGATCTTGACAAATATTCTGGGGTAGTTAAAGTGGCTGAAGTAGGTTTTTTATAGCTAAAAATAATTTAAATTAGTGTAATAATTTATCTGATGAAAATTATATTATAAAAATCTTAAATACAAACATCTTAAGTAAAAGTGAAGATCCAACAACAGACACTGAACTTAATGCCATTGCAGCTGCTGCCATCCATGGCTGTAATGGTAACACAGATTAAGTTAAGCGTGTACGTTTTTGAAGTACATTATAAATGTTATTAAATTACTTGTAATGTGAGGCCTAAGGGACTAAACACACCCGCAGCAATCGGTATACCAATTAAATTATACATACTAGCAAATAAAAAATTAAGTCGAATTCTTCGGACCGTTTTATTGGACAAGTCAAAACAACTGACAACGTCCAGAAGATCATTCTGTGAAATATTAATCATGTTAACATAAAATATAATATCATATAATATATCATCATAATAATCATATAACTAGTAAAATAATAACATTATATTCATTATACACTTACTCTCATTAGGACTACATCTGCTGCTTCAACAGCCACATCTGTGCCTGAAGAAATAGCAATACCAACATTTGCTTGTGCTAGAGCTGGAGAGTCATTAACTCCATCACCAACCATTGCTACTCGTATACCTTTCTCCTGTAAAGCTCTGATCTTGGCTACTTTATGTGATGGCAATACTTCAGCAAACACCTTTTGTATTCCTACTTGTTTTGCTACTGCGCTGGCTGTTTTCCTATTGTCTCCAGTCAATAACATCACTTGGTAGCCACGCTTCATCAACGTATAAACAGCTAGATGAGCTTCAGGTTTAACCATATCTGAAACGCTGATTGCTGCTACCAACAAACCTAATGAAATTATTATAATTAGTATCAAGTTTTCATTTATATATTAAATAAGTCATAATAAATAGTACCATTAATAGCACACAAGATTGCTGTATGGCCTAGGGTTTCTTCACCGATCATTTTAAAATTAACTTCTTTTGATAAATTAATGCCATTTCTAAACATCCATTCACGATTTCCAATTAATACCTGAAATTAAAATATGTTGGTTTATTTGTATTTATTACTTGGACAAATTTTAATATATTTCTATGATTTTTTTTACTTCATATTTGGTTTCATTTGGTTTTTTCTCTTCATTAATATCTAACAATTTATGTAATTGCATTGATTGAACTTGAGTAGGCGGTTTGCCTAAAACCAGTTCAACAATTACGTTGTTAAATTCAAATGATGATTCATTCGTTCCACTTCTATAAATTATAATACATATAGGATTAACAAAAAAATACTTGAATTAACACTGTGGAATTACAACCTTATGTGGTTTTGGTAATTCATAATAAAATCTGATTTGGTTCCATTTTTGAATAAATCATCAATATGAGACACTACACATTTAATACCACATCCAGCAACAGATTGAAAACGTTCACATTTTCCAGATATCTCACATTTAAACATTTCTTTTATAAATTTCACCAACGCTAAAGAAGAGTTGAACAAACATTTTTTTTGTAAAAAAATAAAGAATAATATGTTATAATAATTACCGGAAGCTAAAGGATGTTCACTACTAACTTCAGCGTTAGCAACTACAGATAATAACAGACTGAGAGAACAGATCATGTCGTCTACAAATAGACAAATCCTTGATACAGTGGGCTTTCCGTATGTTATAGTACCAGTTTTATCAAACACAACATATTTGACCTAGAGGAATAATAATTGATCGTATAGAAAATACAATTTTATACATAGCTTTAAAACGTTGAGTCTTACTTTATGAGCATTTTCTAATGCGTCGGCACCTTTTATTAGTATACCATTAAGAGCCCCAATACCAGTTCCAACCATAACAGCTGTTGGAGTGGCCAAACCAAGTGCACACGGACAAGCAATGGCCAGAACACTCAATGCACATCTAAATGAGTATTGAATAGCATTTTCCCATCCATCTGGACCATATTTTTCATCATCCTTCACACAAATAAGAATTAATATTCGATGCTTAAAATCAAAACAAAGTATTTCACTTTACTGAAATAGGTAGATATTTAATATAATAGCGACCAATGAAAAGCCACGATATAAGTGTGATAGTAGATATTGCTACTACGGCTGGAACAAAATAACCAGCAATACGATCAGCAAATTGTTGAATTGGAGCTTTAGACGTTTGAGCTTGCTCAACTAGTCGTACAATTTGAGCTAACATAGTTGCTTCTCCTGTATATGTAGCAACCATTAGTAGAGGAGCTGTCTGATTTAATGAACCTCCTATTATTAAGCTACCTATGAAATATACATTTTTCTGAGTATCTTTTAATAAAATTATTTATTTTTATTTACTTGGCTTTTTGTTCACTGGCATAGACTCTCCAGTAATCAAAGATTCATCACATGCTGATCGCCCATGAATAACTTTTCCATCAACTGGAACTTTTGTACTAGGTAATACCTAATTGAATAATAAATAAAGATATAATACATAAGATTGAACTATTTTTTTAAAAATATATAATACCTTAAGGATATCTCCTCGTTTAACTAGGTCAACATTAATTTCTTTTTCAGTTAATATTTTAAAGTCATCAGTAATAGTCACCAACAGAGCATCTGTAGCTTTTAAGGACAACAATTTAGAAAGGGCTTCAGATGTTTTTCCCTAAAATTATGTAAGATTATAACTTAAATTTTTTATATTCAATAATCAATTATTACCTTAGCAATATGCTCCATCCATCGACCAAGGGATATAAACACAAATAACATAGGCGGTGTATCAAAGAAAGTCATTGGACTAGTATGTTTAGCTGGCGTTTCAGTGATTGCAATGAGTACAACAATTACTGAGTATACATAAGAAATGGTAGTGGCTACTGATACAAGAACATCCATGTTGGTGGTATAATGGCGTATGGCTTTCCAAGCTTGTACATGAAAATGCCAACCTCCAATAAACTGTATTTACATTTTACTACAAAATTAATAATTCATCATTATTATATGCATATTTATTTTATTAAATACCTGAACTGGAGTAGATAAAAGAAACATAATTAAATTTTCAAGCGAAAGCCCAGGAATCACACAGCACATAGAAGAATGATCAATGAAGTTAAATGTCATACCCATCATGAAATAGGTCATAGCAATCATGCATGGACCACCAAACAGTAATGACACAAAAAATGAATTACGCCATTTTTTTATTTCTTCACTAAAACAATATGAAAATATTAAATTTCATAAATAAAATATTAGTCTAAATTAATTGAATAAAAAATATACCTATGATTCAAATAACTGCGATCTCCCCTATCTTTATTGTTCACCAGGTCAGCAGTAAATCCTAGGCTAACAATATGATCAGCAATATCTCGTGGACTAATTAGATCACAATCGTAAGTAATTACCCCTTTTTGAGTTGTGAGTGCGACTATGGCTGTTTGTACTCCTTTGAGTTTCATTAAATTTGATTCAATTTTGTTTACACAAGATGAACATGTCATACCACCAATCTAATAAAATACATATACTATCATAAATTATCTTAATAAAATGAAACAAATTATTAAGAAATATGAATGTTCATACATTATGAAGAAATTATGAGGAAGACCTAAATTTGATCTTAAATTATCAATAAAATATACATTCAAATAATAAAATATTTTACAATGAAATTATTTTTAAGAAATAATAATTTATAATTGATAAGTAAAAATAAACAAATATTTACTCTAAATTCAGTTTGAGTAATACGTGAATTTGTGTCGGCTAAAACATTACAAGGAAAGCCTAAATCAGTAACGGAATTAGCCACATCTTCTGGTTGTACTAATGCAGAGTCATATTGTACTTCAGCTTTTGCAGCCATTAGTGCAACTAATACACTCTTAACACCTACAGAAAAAAAGTTAAATGACAAAACAAAAAAATTTATAAATTTCACTATTAAATAATACCTTTAATTTTAAGGCAGTGCTTTTCAATAGCAATAACACAAGATGCACACGTCATGCCTTTGATGTTCAGATATGTTTTACTATATTCATCGTCAGGAACAAACATACTAAACACATTGTTGGGTGCTTCAATTTTTTGATCATTTAAAGAGACTTTAAATTTTGTAGACAAATTTGATATGGCTGATGCTAATTGTGAATCACTTATGTCCCCGGGGCGATGGACAATAGTTGCTTCTTTTTGTTCCAAGCTAACAGACACCGATACAACTCCATTCAAAGCTCCAATTTTACCTAATAAATCATTCATTCAAGGTAAGTTGAACATTTTGAAATATAACTGTAAATTAATAAATTACTTTCAATGTTTCGCACGCAATTCTTGCAAGACATTCCATCAACTTTTATCACAGTTGTAGTTTGGTGAATTGGTACTGTGAAACCCAATTCTGCAATTATTGATTGAAGTTCAAAAACCGATATAGCATTTGAATCGTATACAACATTAGCGCATTTTTGTTCAAGATTCACCTATCATGTCAATAAATCCACAGTTATAAAGAATTGACAATGGCAACACAAATTTATAAATATTACTTGAATGCTAAAAACACCATTTTTTTCTCGAACACAGCCTTCAATTTTTTTTACACATGAATTACATTTCATGCCTTCTATTTGTATGGTGACCTCAGTTTGGTTTTCTGGCTCAAAAGACACAAGATAGCCCATTTTTTTTAATACTTCAACAAATATTGCGTAACTAGTTTGATTCACGTCATAAAGAACGCGCAAATAGTTTTGGCCAATTGTTACAACCTAAAAGCAATTTAATCAAATTATAAGAATATAGGGTGTTAATATGTTTTTTAATTAATATTTAATAGTATAGTATTCTAGATTTTTCAGATAAACTCATGTGCAAGGTTTGAAATCTGATATTATAAATCATGGACAATTTCTACCTCCACACATAGATGTATCAGAAAACTCTTAATAAAATATAAATATATAATGTTTTAACATCATTGGTTTTAGAAATGATTTTTAATCACCTGGATTATACCAGTTTGGTCAAGTATTACACTGGCTGCTTCAGCGGCTCGTGAAACAACAGTTAATATTATAGTTTTATGTGTTTCAACTGTCTCCGAGTCGATTAATTCGTCAGATATGTTATTGGGCGGTAAGCTATAATAAAATCAATAACAAATGTAATATATACAATTTAAATTTATCAATATTTGTACTTAATAAACTTTTTTTTTGACATAATTGTAGATACAAATTCTAAAACTATCTTACCAGACATCATCATCATTAATCAATAAAAAGTATGCCATTTTATTATTTATGAATACTATGAATTAAACATTAAGTAGGTAAACTAAATCGAGAGTTGGATTACGCATCAGTATTACTGTTCATATTGATAGAAAATGTATCAATGAGGCAAAACTTGGACTATGAAATAATAATAAGAGATAACCTAAGTGACCAGAAAAAGATAAAACTCATTTTGAAACATTATAATAAAAACATTTAACACAATTAATATTTAAAACAGTATAAATTATTTTAATCTATAACTGTTTGGTATTTCATACACAAAATGTCATAGCACAATAATCAATTATTATTGGGGATATGTAGGTAATTAAAATTAAAGGGCCATACCATATAATAGTTTTGAAAAAAAAAAAAAATCAAATAAGAACAACTGTACTAACAGTTGCTCGTTTTATAAATATTATAAAATATATGACGTATAAAGTGTGATAATTGTATACATATTTATAATATAAAAAATATCTATTAAACACTAATTGATCGAGACTAAGTTCAAAAATTATATAAATAAAATAATAATTAGGATAATAATATGATACATTGATTGCAGTGATTAACGAGGTAGGTTAGATGATTTAAGTTATATAGGTAATATAAGGATTATTTTTAGATTCAACAAATTGTATGATACATAGAACCATATTTATAATACAAGAATATTTAATAGAATCAAAGGTCTTTTAATCTGTAAACACACAATTTTTTAATTAATATGAAATACAGTCTAATTTAATTGAGACGATTCATTTAAAGTATCTACATTGCAAATGATTAATATAAAGTTAAATAAATACAATTGTTTCGATGTATGTTTAGTATAGATAACAACAATATAATACACAGGTATTTATGAGATTTGTATAATTTTGTATAAATAATAAAATAAAAATATTATGATTTATTTTATACAATTGAGAAGTTAATGATGTTTATTATAGTTTAGACATAAAAATACTTACGAGGTGAGTTAATTTTAAGCAAGTTATTACACTATAGGGAACTTAGTGTAAACCAAAGTTAAGTAAACAATAGAACCATTTTATTCGATACAACAACTAAAATTATAACAAAACTAGAAGAAAAAATTTTGATATAAAAATAATGATTATCAATAAAATGTTAAACTTAATCTTATATCAATATAGGTAATTATTAATTATTAGTTTTAGTGAATTTGAAATAATACTTTTCAATACAAATAAAAACAATTTCATACGTATTTGCTCAGAAATATGTATAAATTAATAGAGATAAGAAGAAATGGTGTATGAATTGTTACATTTTAATTCAATGTATAACACAGACCTTGGAAAGTGGCAAGAGCAAAAACTAGAATAAACCACTTTCACCAGTTGTAGGTACTAAAATTCTTACACATACCAAATCCCCTCTCTGTTAAATTTACAATAGGTTAATCAAGACTTCATTTTTGGTGATAAAAACATTATATTGGTAAATGTAATTACCTATTGCAAGTAATGAGTAGGTACAACAGGTACTTTTCATAACTTATCAACCTACCAATGTAATCTAATGTCTAATGAATATTTAGTAGGTATTTCACTCACAATATGAGATACTTGAATGATACAACTTTGCACTGTTTAGACTAAAGATTAAAACTAGGTATACCTTTTAATAATTGGTACTCAAAACAGAAAGATTAATTGAATATATTTAACAATCACTAGTTTGAAAAATTGTCAAATGTTATTAGAATCATTAGAATAGGTACCAAGTTCTTACTATCTAGTAAGTACTTCATCTACTATCTGCATATATAACACATGTAAATTATAAAGCAGTTCTTAAATTTATAAATGGTATAAAAAATATGTAATAGGTATGCAATATTATCCAATTTTATATGAATTATACACACATTCAAATAAACAATATACATACACATACACATACAAGTGATTGGAAAATTCATAATTTTATTAGCACTCTCTGATCTCTGAAAAATGAATTGATAGTTTATATTCTAAGAAAATACTCCAAAACATTAGTTTTATTTGGTTATTGTCGACATTTTATACAGCGAGAATATTTTAAATTTGAATTATCAGTTTTGTTTAGTTTACTAATAAGTAATATTTGTAATAATGCTAACACACAATTCTTCACAGAGTATCATAACATTTTAATTAATTACTATCTAATTAAGGGGAACTTGAAATCCTTTTTGTTGGTAGTTGCAAAAGTATTTAAAAAACTAGTAGGTAAAGTAACAAATTGAGGGATTTTATTTGTTTAGTATACCTACACAATTTATTATTTATTAAATATGTAGGTATTAAAATGTTGTAATTGGTAGAATTGAATATTAGGTAATATAAATTACTTATTTTACACAATGGATTGATTTCTCTGGGAAATAGTTGTATATTATACATAATACAATAATATAATAATATGGATTAGTAAAATTGGTGGAAATAATTCAAATTCAAACATGATACCGCCGTATATAGTAGTATAAAAAGTTTAAAAAAGTAGATACCACAAGTATACACAGTAGATATCTAGAAGGATAACTATAATGGATGTGTTAAATTTTAATTCAAAGATGTAAAATCAATGCATACGAAAAACGATACTGAGCGAAAATCGGCCATTATTATTGGTATTAGAGTAATTTATTTTACTGTTAAAGTGTAAGACATGAATGAGACAGTAGGTTGAATTATTCTTTTCCAAAAAAAAATGAATTTGAAAACATTGTTGTGTGTATACAATTTAATAATATATTTAAAAAGTTTCAAGTGCCCAAGAAGAGTTTTTTTAAAATTAAGTATAACAAAATAACTAAAATTGTTATTCTTTGTTTGAACATCAAATCAATATAAAAAAACTGTGTACTTATATATATATTCAGATTTTTTGGTTATAGCATAAACTACTTATGAGAAACCTTTTTAAATGTTTAACTAGATAAATAAGATTTTGATTAATTATCATTTGTCAGTTTTAATTCTAAATGCTCATAAAAAAAAGTCTATGTATCTTTAATACTTTTCAACTGACTTTAAAACAATTTATGAGGAACCTTATGTTACATTTTCAAGCTTTTTGATACAAAAATACATTTTTACTATAGAAAAATAAAATAAAAAAATGTAAAATGTCTATAAATAGCTCAAAATGAGAAGGATTATTTTGAAAAATTGTATGGTGCTTAGAAAATTCTAATCTAAACATTTTGTAAAAATTTCATGTACAATTTTTTTATTGTTTTTAAAGTTACACCAAGAAACAAAACCAAATTTGTCAAAAATTGATGTTGCGTAAGAATCTCCAAGTTTCCTTGTTTTTTTTTTGGTTTTGCCAACATTTGTGGAAATTACTGGATATTTTCAATTTTTATCACTCTAATGTAACAACTAGATTTACTTTCCCACCAACAAAGATACTGTCTTTAAAATTCAAATCATTTTTTTGACTACTATTATTATGTACTCAGACACAAACTAAAAACACATCATTGTAAAATCAATACATTCATCAATTCAAAAACTATAAAACTCCCTAATATAATTATTAAAACAGATATTTTATTTTTTGACCAAAATCAAATAGATATATTATAAATATTTATTCTTGATAGGTAGACATACTTTGTGCAATATAGTTCAGTTATTATGTAATATATATAGGAACCTATTGTTAATTAATTATTTAATTAAAGTTTAATTTTTATTTGTGTCAATGGTCAGATAAAAATTAAGTGGCAATCAGGAGTTGTTTATAGGGGCTGTTGAACTCTGATTAATGATTACCCCTATATCCATCTAAAATTGCTGTAAAGTGGTATCTATGAGAAAATTTTTGTTATTCTATTTATATAAATGTAGTATGTTAATTTGGTATACACATAATTGATAAATTAAATTATAATTAACTACAAATTATAAGCATTACATAACAGTTCATAATATTAATTTGTTGTATGTAATATACATAATAATGAATAATGTATATTATATAATATACATATTTATAATATTAATTATTATTATGTAATATACATAATAATACAGTTATACATAGGGCACACATTCTTAGACAGATAATGCTAATTAGTAATCACCCCGCCTAGTCTTAGAGCCCAGTTGTGAAGTTATATTTTAAACTATTTACATTTGCAGTCACCAAATGCCTATGTTTATACATAAAGCTATAACTTAATGCTAGTACCCAATAAACCTATACCTAATAATCAGGACCAGCTTTAGAAGGGGCCCACGAAGGGGTCCACAAGATTCAATCAATAAGAGGCCTCCACAACATAAGTACTTTTTGGCCTTTTGCAGTAAGTTTTGTTGGTTTTAAAGTATGTAGTCAACAAAAAATCCTTATATGTGCCCTTGGGCCCTCACCACCCTAAATCCGGGTAAATAAATATACAGAGTGTCCCACAAGGATTTACCCATTGCGATATCTCCTAAGATAATAAATATATCATAAATCTGTTTTTTTTTTATTAGACTCACCAAGAACAAGGACTACATATATTAATATTTATTAATATTTTAAAATTCAATTCAATTTTTTGATAAAACTTAACTTATAACGTACAACTTTTTAGCACTATTTTGGCAAGTACATTCAATTACCAAACTAAAAAAAAAAACTTTTTGTTGTAATTTTTTTTTATAATAAAGAGCATTTTACTCAATAAAATCAATCAGGAATTGTCTATAACTAACTTTTTAATACTTTATTAGATAACAATAAAAATAAATTACTTCTTTCACCCACTATTTTGTCTATAGTATAATCATTTTACTTTAACGTTTTAAATTTATATTTATGATGATCAGGGCTTACAGTGACTTATTAAAAACTTAGTCTATGGTTATATCATACAGTTTTACTCGTAAGGGTAGATCATTACTCCTTATTCTATCTCCGTTGAAATAACAATACGTTAAGTGCTATATCAAAATTAAAAACCAATTTGCCTTCCATTTTTAGTAGGTACCTTATAATGGTACTCAACCCATAATATACTTGATTTTACTTAACTTTAATCTTATCTCAACTTAAGTCTTAATTCAAAAATGTGATTGGCAATTACCTAATTATATCTTTAATATTAGTCTTATAAGTCTTGTATTTTTCTTAGTTAATATCTATCTATCTTTGTAATTAACCAGTTTCGAGCATGCAGAATGACAGCAGCGACTGTTAAGAGGCCCTATTCCCCCCACTTTGTGCCATTTAGTGTGGAGTTGTGGAGTGCCGACCGTTAACAATTGTGATTGTGCAAAGTCGATATGTCAAAGGAAAATGAGCAATTTGAACGCAATTTGGTTGGGAAACGTAGTCAAAATAATAATTTTCTAAGATAAAATTTAGAAATTTAAAAATATGATAAGCAGTGGTATTTTTTAACCATAATTATATGTACCTTTAAACATATTCAACATACTGAGTATGTAAGATGTTATTATTAACCAGTTAGATAAGATTTAATCTATACCAAAATATTTGTATGATTATTGGTTCTTTCAAGTCTATAAAATTATAATATATTGAATAGTTAATGTTATAAGTCTACAAATATTTACCTGAATTCAGTGAGATAGTGAGAGAGTAAGTGGTATTTAGATTATATAAATATACGAGTAAACATAGATATTATAAATTATCACATAGCTAACATAGCTAATGCATTTCTAGGACTGACAAAATTGTGTTGCGTAGACACCTGTTTTTGCGCTACTAAACTCAGGTAGGAGTATAATTATTGTTAACAATGTTGGATCTAAGCCTTCTGAAAACCAGATTCCTATAAGTTATAACTTATAATCCATCTCTGTTTTCAGGAGGGACAAGAGTAATACTAATTTCATGCTGATTTATTTTATTTTACTAAAATAAAAACATTTTGGATACTTATTTTCACATTCCCAATCAAATTCATCAAAATAAATTATTAAAATTAGAATGAATTATATATTTTAAATGCTTACGTTAACTTAAAAATTGGTTGTTCTATACAAACTAGAAGATTGTCAGAAGAACTATAGGAAAATCTGTAACCTGTACTCTGTTTGGAAAAAAAATGTATAAAATGTTATAAATACTATAGATAATGAAATAAATATTTTGTCAATTTATTTTTAACTGTTAATCATTTGTTAGATTTAAGCTACTACTTAAAAATGTATTTACTCTTTTATTGCTATGCTGGTTTATATATTATGTTCAAATGCTGTATGGCATTTCTAAATTAAATAAAAAAATTAAAATACTATTCAATTATTCAAGCATCAATGAAAGGTTTTTACTGTAACATATGGGTAATAGTTAAGTTATTTCAAAGTTTCTATAGTATAAACATTACCTATTACCTATATGCTATAAAATAAATGATTAGGTAGGTACAAAACAATCATTTAATCGTATCACTTACGGTTTTTTCTCATTGGTTTGTTTTAGTGGACTGTAGAGTTCAAAAATGTCTTCGGACGGCATAGTTACGAGTTGAGTGTCAACACTTAAAGTACAATATTCACAAAGTGAGAAATAAAAAAACCAAGTACTGTCGTAGTAATGTATCAGATGATTTAACAGCAAGCTAAATCTGTCAATAGATCATTAATTTATCCATTGTTCGCATCGCCTTCTACGTCCGATCATCGCCCGGTCGGTCAGGACTGTCTAGTGTGAACGACAGGCGGACTTATATATTATCGAATAACCCAATAATATAGGTGACCAGATCAAAGTGCAGATATCCGCGCGTCCAAATTGTGTGAGATGATTAAAATTTTAAAAACGCAAGACCCACAGCTGGGGGTCAATGATTCGAACGGGTCGGTTGTCTGGTGTAATTATGAGAAATTTGCAAAATTCCAACCACAATGTCGTCAACGCCGCACTCGCAGATGATAACGGAGAGACAGGACCGCGGTACGGCGACTTGCCGAGATTCGACAAAACTCGGCAATTTAATCTCGCCAGCGCATAAATGTGTAGACGCAGAATAGATGATTTCATCCGTTCCGCGATAGAGTTATCGATTATTGATATTGTTGTCGACACACGGCGTACGATGCCTCAATAATTGAATAACAATATTATGATTTACATATAATGGGGTTACCTATGTATATAAATCATAATACATGTATTGCAGATGGTCAATATTGTTATTTGTTATTATCACCAGCAGCAGCTCCTGTTGTTATTGTTGTTTATCGAGTATTACATGTTATCTATGTTATTTTTGTCTTGTATTAAACATGGTCCTTATGCCCGCCCACGATATAGTATTGATAATTTAACATGGACAATTTATGGAAAATTAATAGAATCTATTATAATATAAAAATAATAATATTATGACATTATGTCTATGGTATATACCACGATTTAATTTATTTATCGTGATTTACACTTTGTACCACGATTTGGAGAATATCTACTCTACATTGTGCTTTGTACAAACCACGAATGGCTATTATGGTTTTTAGAATTTGGATCTCCGCATTATATACCTTAACCATTACATTCTGCACGAATTTTTGTACCCATACTATAATTTTTTTTTTTTGTTTTTGCAAACAAACTGAGTAATGACCGAATATTATACTAAAATTAATTTTTATCGTTAAAACGAACGTATTTTGGAAGGGCGGGGGTTGGTAATTGTTGTAGGTAAGAACGGATAATAGTTTCACAAATTAAATGTTTCCCTAATACTGTGTACATTTTGATACTGTTGATAATATTATTTTGAATCAGAACTTTCACTTGTTGAATTAAATAATATGTAGCTTATTTTAAATTTAAATTAAATGTTAACTGTTATTTGTTAATTATCTTGTAGTTAAGAATTACTAATCATATTTGTGATAAAGTTGTGTAATAACTAATATTGTAATTTGTAATAATTAAAAATAAATATTTCCAGCGACGAGTCCCGTGGTTTGCTGTTTAATGTTTATGTTTACGTAACCTTATCACAAAATCACGTCGTGTTATCAACGGGTGGTACCGGGATGAAGTTGTCGGCGCGTCGGTGCGCAACCTAGGCGCGAGATCCGCCGCGGACGGCGGACCGTGTTATACTTTAACGGGGCAAAGTTCAGCCGTAGCGGGGCGGGACGCGTCGCAAGCACGATCAACACGAGCACGACTGAGCGGACCTGGCTGCAGACCAGTGGGCAGCACCGGGCGCCGAACCGACCAACAAGCCAGCCGAGTCGGAGAACCGTAGTCCGTATAAGTGACTTGCGGTGACGGCACATCACGGCCGCGGGTCGTCCCCGACTCCCGACGGTTTGTTGGCCTGCTGGTGCCTGGTGGTGGTAGTGGTGTGACGGCCGTGGCGACGGTGGCCGACTCCCGAAAGCCGTTTCCGCGTCGTTGTCCCGACGTGGTGCCGTCGCGACTCGCTGCCGTCAGTGGATAGTGGTCTCAAGACTTGTCCGCGCGCGCATGTGGTGCGTCCCCCAGTCGGCAGTCGCCGCCAATATTATTACTCATCGTTGACAAATGTAATAATATTGTTGTGGCGGTCAATTATTATTGCATCGGTGTCGCGCACACGTCCTCGCCACGTCCTGCACCTCTCGACTTGTCGGCATTCCGCGTTGCGTTTCTCCGCGTGTCCGTCTCGCCGTCATGACCGGTGTCGAGTAGAGACAGTCGTTTTGTGCGTGCGTCGTGTGTACGTTTGTGTAGGCCTGTCGGGCGATCACAACCATGGCCGACGAAGAAGTGCTTTTCGACGATGTCTACGAACTGCTCGAGACCATCGGAAAGTGAGTGTCCTTGTCCTGTACTTCGGTACCTACCTATCGTAATCTACCCGTATAGTATTGTTGCGATTAAATTGAACTTGCCCACCCACGACCCACCCGCTTTGGTACTTTTTACTTTTGGAACCTCAACGGATTTGTCGGTAGGTAGCCGTGTTGTGGGTTCTTTTTTGGTTGTCGTATTTGCGTTACTTGTCGTGACTTAATTTTAAATTTTCATGATCCATACGTGTGTTTGATGTAGATGCTTTTGGTGGGCATGGAGTGTCAGAATCATTTTTCGTTTGGGGCTGACAAAATCTTTGTAGGCCTTTTTAAAATCTTGACATCTTATATTATATGGTTATAAGTTAGAAAAGTTTATAGTTAGCGGTACCGAGCTAGACACCTAAAATATGGTTAAACATGTAAATTAAAAGGGAGGTTATAATACTTAAAATAAGTATATAAGTATAAGTATATATATATAAGTATATATGTATATAATATATATATATATATATAAGTATATACTATATATGTATAAGTGACTAGAAATGCAGTTTGTAGATTTTCTTTTTTTTAATATTAATGGGAAATTATTATTACTTTTTTTTTAACTAACAATTATTCATTGTAATTATTACTTAGTTCATGTCATATGGATGTATTTTTAAAAATTATCTTTTTTTTTAACAGTACCTACCTATACCTAATACCTATGTTAAATTTCTCTTAGTAGTTGAATAATTTTTCAGGCTATTCACAACACAAATGTACCTAAATGCAAAGTGTACAAAATACAAAATACTTATTCAATACCTATTAGTTTTGAAATATGTATATCGGCTCTTTGGTTTTTTTTGGTAGGTAGAATAAACAATGTGTTTTTACAAATTTAAGTTACCAATGTAGGGTCTCTCATAAATGTTGCACATGTTTGCTTATTGATGCTATGTCCAAATGCAATACTATCGACAATTTAATTTTAAAATGATTACAACTTACCAACCTCAATGCATTTTTCTACTGTGTAATCTGGAATTTCTATGCTTAGTGGTCCATACTAGGGGTGTCCTTTGGGGGAGGGGGGAGCAGGGTGTGCAATGGCACCACTAACTTAAAAAATGTTAAAAATTGGCCTGCCATTAATACTCCAATGCGCCGTCATAATTAACTTATACATTATGATTTCATACTTAGGTAATATAAATAAAATATATATTTTTTTCAAGTTTTTGTATATTTTTGGTTTATCAGGTTTATTGATTATACCTTATTTGCCTTTTTTTTCAAATAATAGTGAAATGGATTTAGCTGGTTGCTTTAATTGCTTATAAGCTTTTAATTCTTTGAATTGCTAGCTATTTAAAAGTTGCGTTAGTCGTTATGAGTTTCAATTAGAATTATAAAATTGAAGGAAAGAATATTTCATAGGGTTGCATAGGTTACCCACATTTATATACATAAATACATTTTTTTTTTTAATGGCCTGGTGAAGTGTCAAAATAAAAAGTTAAAAGTTTGTACACCCAGAAAAAAAACTGAAATGATGCCCCCAGTCCATACCTTCTGAGGACCTCATGTACTTTATTTTGGTTGGATATTGTATGAGAGAATATTGTTGCATTGTACTTACGAGGGTACCTACCAATCACACAAATAGGTGTTTTTATATTCAGTTGATATTAATATCAAAAAAGGGTACCTACTTAAAAAGAAATTATTGGTCTGGAATCAAATCAAAAAATTAGATGACAAAATAAAAAAATATATAAAAGTTAATAATTTCTTTCCTAACATTTTTGAACTTGAGTACCTACTAGGGTCTACTTACCTATCCGTACCTATCTATAAAAACGTTCATTATTAAGTTAATTTAATATTTCTAATGCCTCTTAAAAAATGTAAAGAAAAATGAAGATACAAAAATTAATATACACATGCTTGTCACATATTTATGATTTATAGGTACACTATACCTACTAAATAGTTTATAATAACAAAAAAAAATCAATTACAAATAGCATTTAAGTTGGATTTAATTATGAATGTACCTATTTGTTAAAATATAAACATTAGATTAATGTAATCAACCAATTTTGTTGTTGTAAGTTCATTTATTTTATTAAAGTAGGTATTATAAAAAAATTACAGACAAGTCTCTATCCATACGTTTCTTGCTATGTTGCTTACCGCTCTTATTAATACATCTTGTAATCCAAATCATGAATTAAAAAAAAAAAGTATAAACCTTGGTTGATTATCCATTTCTTAACTTATATCTGAGTTATGTTCTTATGTAATACCTATCTAAGATACAATTTGTTTTACATTTTAACTATATCTATTTACAATTATTTTTTATTTAAAATAGTTGATTTTACTTTTCATGTAGTGTTAAAATATATTGTATTCCCTTTAGATTTTGTAGGTATTGAATAAGATACATTTATTTATGCAATTCAGTTATTTAATATTATCATTCACTTTTTTCTTATTAGTAGTTTAGTTGTTTATTATCAGATTTATGATTTTGTTTATTACCTAATTTATTTATTACATGTTAGCCTTATAGGTACTTATGCATAAAATATGAGGTATTATTGAACATCATATTAAGGAACTTAAATCATAGTACTTCAATGCAACATTTTTAGCAATTTCTGACAATTCTTTTGCTTGAAATTTGTATACAGTACTGTACAAATTGTCCATCATACTATTTTTAAGTAAATCAATAACTGTGGGCATAACTTGTTGAGTTTGATTATTTAAAAATATTGATTTGACTATTTTTGGAATATTAATATTTCCTATAATATGATCTTTGCTGTCCATGTATAATTTAAAAATTTTTAATAAAAACCATGTCATAATATCTTGGTCAAAAATGAATTCTTCATAGGATGATTCAGATGGATATATTTCATTATTCACAGTATTCACATATTCAATGTGGTTTTCTGATTCTTCGTCATACGATTGTATCGTATGTTGGATTTTCAAATCAAGTGGATTCCAACCAAAAACCAAACTAAGTGATTTCCCTAAACCTATGTATGGTTTTTCGTCTCTGCAAAATGCTAAAAGCATAACACTATAATTAAGTCCATCTTGGACTTGATACATATCATATAATAACCATTTAGCATCATTGTGTTGATTTGTATTATTTTCAAACCATAATTTTGTGGCTTCATAACTTTCTATTGTTATCGTCTCATTTCCAATATCATAATCTTGGAATAATTTTCGATAAAACAATAGTTGTTCAATTGTTGGATAAGGAAGTTCCATACATTGTACTACAAAGTCTCTCCAATCTATGGTTGTTATATTACTACCAAATAGTTCTTTATAAAAGTGATTGTAAAATTGATTATCTATTGGCCATTTTTTTGGATATATGTGGTATATTTCACAAAGTTTATTCAATGTATCAATAAAATTATTAATTTCTATTTTGAATGTAGGAGCATAATCTAAAAGTTTATTTACAATAGGTCTTAATTGTGCCATGTTAAATTTATTCTTTGAATGAAATACTTGTCTGCAAATGATTACAAAAACACTTAATTTATTTATGAAAAATTGTCCAGAAATGTGTTCGATGCGGACATCAGTATTTTTTTCGACACATTCTAAAATTTCGCATAATTTATTTACATCATTTATCTTAAATTGATATATAGTATGTATTTTTTCTAAATGATGATCTATGTTTGTTAAATCTTTAAAATATTTTATATCAAGAAGTAAACTAGCTTTAAGTCTATATATTTGATTTATAAGTCTGTTAGTTTCTGTTTGTACGCTTACAGTCCAAGACCCTTTATCTATCCCATCTACTACTTCATAGTTATCATTCACATATTTTTGAAATTTGCTTATTGTCTCCAAGCAATGTATTTGAAATTTATCAATATCATCATTGTTATTGATGATGACTGTATAAAATTCAAATTCATCAGTTTTAGTTTCATTATTATCAACATAATACCTATTTAAGAAGTTTAAAGTAGTTATTGTACGTTTCATTTCAGTTTCTAATAATTGACTGTAGGTACTAATCAATGTATTATTCTTAAGGACCCACTGTTCATAAATCGTATCATTAATAAATTGTGTTACTTGTTCTAACTCATTATCCACTTCATCCCACAAATTGGTTTGTAGTTCAGAAATATATTGTTTTAAGTTCCCATGGTTGTCTGTTGATAGATTTTGGATTTTGTTCTCATATTTATTTATAAGGTTCATTATGGAAGAATTCTGAGATTTTATTGTTTGATAAATTGATGTTATGCTTAACTCCTTGCTTATTCTCACTTCGTTGAAAAAGTTATCCTTATTATTTAACAATTCCTTAATTTTGTGTGTATAATTATGTTCCATAGTTTTCCAAATGTCACATAAATATAATGCTGTAAATGTATAATTGGTTAAATTACCTTCATGCCTTCCCAAATCTGTACTTAGTATTTGAAATTTATTGGCAATTTCATAAGGTTTTATTGTTTCAGTTTTATCACCAGATGTTATAGAAACTGGTGTACTAATTTGTTTTTCATAATTTTCAGATTTTATGCTATCATCATCATAATTATTAAAAATATTTATAGGCTTAAAAAATATACTTGGGGTTTTAACATTTTCTTCATTTAAGATCAACCCAACTAAGATGTCTGCAGCTTTTTTAGGTTCTTTTATTATATTATCTAGATTGCTTATTTGTATTTGAATACTATTTTGTTGGTTATAAAATTGTAAAAAATCATTTAATTTTTCACTGTACATTTCATCTATATGGTTTATAATTTTGATACAATTTGTCAAATAAGTATTTGTAACAGTGTACATGTCTTCACTATCTTGATACTCAGGAACTATACTAGACTTTTTCTTAGACTTTTCAATTATTTCTTTCCCAAAATATGGCATTTTACCAGTCAACATAAATTCAAGTAAAGCCATTTGCAGAGGCTGAACTGGGAATTGTAAAAGTATCCAACCATTTATTCCTTGATTTAACTTAATGTATTCTCCTATGCAATTTATTTGATCTCCAATTTGTAAATCATGATTTTTTTTTTGTTTTTCATCAATTATTTTTCCTAAATTGGCCATTGAACTTAAAACAGGATTGTTGTAATCAGGTTCTGGAATATTTTCTGGTGTTTGAATAAGTTTATTTATAAGCTTTTTATTTGTTGTATAAATCGATTCTGCGCTGCCGTTTGATTCACTTGTAATTGTATCTGACAAACTATTTATTGAATCATTCTCTGTTCTTTTTTTAACTTCTATAAACATTTTAAGATAAATATTTATATTTATTATTCATGGCCCTGTAAACATGTAATTTTTAAGAGGTTATGTAGATGTATAGGCTATTCTTGCTTTGCATATGTACATGACTTGTATTTGTGTGAGTAGGTAGGTAGTAAAAACAGTAGTAAATCATCATTAGTTTATGTGTACCTACTATTTAACTATAATACACATAAAATAGTAGGTATGCACATGTATTTGAGCAATAGATTAAAATATTCAAAACAAATTTTCGAATTTAAAATAGTTCTACGCCAAGAAAAAATTCTTTGTTTGATTTTTAAAATGAAAATATGTTTGAATTCCTAGGTAAGTTGACTTTGCGTAACATAGCTGATACATTTTTCATGCTTTTTTTACACTACCAAAGTGTTTCAAAAATAAAACTTCAAAAATAATTTTAATGCTTGTCCGTTTTTAATATAAAATAAGTAAAAAAAAAAAACAAATTTTATTTTTAAATGTACCTATGCTTATTTTTCATATGAAGTAAATTTATTTATAAGCCTAAGCATTTTTAGTTTCTTTAAACCAAAACCACATGAAGTATCAACATTTTTGGCTGATGTTAAAGGTTATAGGTACTTTTTAAGTTAAAGTGATCTTCTATCTTTCTCTAACACATGTAGAAAATAAGAATTTAGAGGTATATTCATTCCAATACACCAATTGATCTAATGAAGCAATGAGAAACAAATTCAAAACAGATTTGAATTTGTTATCATGTCTACTTGATATAGACTCTCTACTTTTTTCGATTTGATCCCCCTAAATCTTAAAAAAATCTTACTAAAAAATTAAATTGTTGGAGAAATTAAAATCAACAAATTTAAAATTCGCGAATAAGGAGAAAAGAATCTTGACAAAAAATTCAAATCTATTTTAAAATTATTATCGCTTCATTAGATCAATAGGTGGTATGTTAGAATGAAAACACATCTAAGTTCCTATGTTACACGTATGTTAGACACAGGCAGAAAATCACCACTTCCAATCCCCTTGAGGTTGTTTTTCGGTTGTTTTGATAAAAAATGTATGAGATTTAAAATGACCTTAAATGTAGGTTTTAACATAATATTGAGTAATTTATATTATAATTTAATACCTATAATATAGACGAGGATATAACCTGTGGAGATAAAACTACTATATGTGGAAACAATATCAGTAGAAATATTTAAAATATGAAGAATGTTTTTAGTGATTTTTTCAGCTTATTTTATATGATAAGGTAATCCTATACCTACACCTATATAGATAAAAATTGATTGTCATTTTAAAATATTTACCACTTCTATTATAATCTGAATAATTTTCTAGTTTCTTACCTTTACTGTTTTCTGTTGTAATGCTTGCATTTTCTGAGGGATTTTCATATTCTTCCACAACTTGGTATAGTATACTTTTATTCATTGAAATTTTCATTTCTTCATTATATGCATTAAGACAAGCAGATAATGCATCTTCAGCAGTAAAACCTAATATACCTTTATTTCGCAAGTTATCCTTCATTAATTTTATCACTTTTGTATTTTGTATTACATCAACAACTCCAGCTACATTTGTGTTATTTATTTTAATAAATTTAATTTCACTTATACCATATTCAAAATTCAAAACTTCTTTTATTATCATTGATAGAATGTTTTGTTTGAATTTAAATGAATCTACATTCAAATACTCAGAAGACCAAGATCCAGTGTGCTGTAAATATTCATTAAAAACATCTTGTTTCACAAAATCTTCGTTCTTAAATTCTTCTAATCCTTGAGTGATAATAGATTCTTTTATTTTCAAACTACTTATTGTTGAGCTTTCATTTTTTATATCTTCTTGAGATACCAAGTCAATATTTTGAATAAAGTTTTCATCATCTAATTTGGCGACTGTAAAGTTATTATCAGTTATTATGTTATTTTCTTCTGCTATATTAAGAATATTAAGCAGTGTACTTCTGCATAATATTTCTTTAGATTTTTCTGTGGATTTTTCCAAGAATTCGTTTTTTTTTTTATTTAAACTCATAATAAATAAATCATAAATACTGTTCATATTATGTTCTAATATCTTTAAACCATTGCCTTTACATGTATTGATACAATTTATTGATTTTAAAACATCAATAGCAGTGTATGAAATACTATTTGAATTCAAAAATAATTTAGAAACATGGCAACACTTTTCATGGATTGCATTTAGTCTTTCTTTATTTTTTATTTCTTTCTGATGTGACAAGAAACTACCATTACTTTTACATAAATTTACTATGATGTTATTGTTTAATTTTTGATTTTTCTCAACATCGATAGTATTAATTATTTGGCATTCTTTTGACATTTCCAGCTTAAAGTATAATTTGTATAAAAGTTGTGTAACAGCAAGTGATTGACCATGAGAGATTTCACATATAGCTCTATCTTCAATAATAATTTCCATAAATTGCAGCCACAAGTTTATATTTTTCATATTGCTCAAACATATATCATAATTATTAGTTTTTTTAAATACATGCACATACTTTTCAGGTATTACTTGGTATTTCTGAAATAAAAGTGCAAACAGAAAACCGTCTTTGAATCTCTCACCTATATTATTAAAGTTTAAATTCTGACAATAATGTGTTCCAAGTTTACATGTTAGCCATTCATGTAATATGTTGAACATTTTATTAAAAAATTACGTAAATATTATTAATCTTCGTAGAAATATTTTTTAGGAAATAATTAATCAAATTACTTTGTTATTATTTATCTAATATATATACAAACAACTGATGATCACTATAGTTATTAATGTTTTATATATTACAGAGGACCATTTAGTTTGGTTAAAAGATGTGTTCATCGTCAAACTGGGCAACAATTTGCTGTTAAAATTGTTGACGTAGCAAGTTTCACATCAAGTCCTGGTTTGAGTACATCAGGTATTTAATTTTTAATTTTATTAATTAATTATACTTATTGATACAAGATTGTATTTTGATCACAGACTTAAAACGAGAAGCAACAATATGTCACATGCTAAAACATCCTCATATAGTAGAGCTACTGGAAACTTACAGCTCTGAAGGAATGCTATATATGGTTTTCGAATAGTAAGTTTTTTACATACATTATTTTTAGTTAAAGAACACACCAACACAATTGCAGTACTAACATACATATTTTACAGTTAATAACAATTTAACTGCTTGGCGATGTTTTTAATTCTAACATTTTGATAAAATAAAAATAAGTTAGAAAATATTCATTTTGAAGTTCTTAATAAAAGGTTTAAATGTATAATAGAATAATAATATCACTTAAAAATAAATATTGTTTTATTATATTTATTTTTTTGAAAATCTATCTACAATAGTTTAAGATTAAGTTTTATTCCTTAATTAGTTTAGGAATACTTTAAGGAAAACATTAAATATTTTCAAGAAGGTTTATCGTATTACTAGAATTGTCAGTATAATAGGCCTAATATAGTTTGAATAAACGACCATAAGGCCTTAATCATCAAGCTTTAAAAACAAAATTGAAAACATTTTTTCATTACTTAAATTAGTTATATTTGTGTGTATCCTGAATTTTTATTTTCATTGGAGAATGCTTATAATATCAAATAAAAAATTTATTTTATCAGAAGAAGTAAAGTAGAACCCGTTACACTCTCACGTAAGATGATTGCGTGGCTAATACGCTCATTTTTACGAGTCCCTTGATTTTGACAACATTTAACATGTAATCAACTCTGGGTAATACGCTCTATGTTCCCGGATAAGACGCTCGTCTTGTTAATGATGTTAATATAAAAATACATTGTATATACATAAACATTGTATAACATTTAAAGAAATACCTCACTAATAATAATGATAACGAATAATGTAAGTGTACTTGTACCGGTTATCGGACAATTAGATATGACACACTACATACGGTTATTCATGGCATCAAAATATAATCTGATATTTCCCCAGTTTATGACAGTTTGTGGTTGATTAAAGACGTTGATGCTGATAAAACGTTACAGCATCTTAATAAAATTAAAAACTTCTTGCATTTAAAAAACATAAAAAATGTGAAACAAAGAAAGATAGATGATATTTTAAATAGGTAATATAAAATAATATGTAATATACATGTAATAATTCACTCTGCTAAGTAATAGATATAATTTGTATGCATAGAAAATAGATACATACCAATTGTAAAATAAAATAAAAATGTATTGTTCCCGCGTAATACGATTTCCCGCTTAAGACGCTATTTTTAGCTGGTCCCATGGAGAGCGTCTTAAACGGGTTCTACTGTATTCATTATTTGTAAATTCTAACATCAAGTATGGTCATTTTAACATGCATATTTAATTTTAAGTTTAAATATTTTTAAGCAATGGACATATAAGTACTTAGTTTGTTAAATAAATATTGTTGTACGCATAATTAAATTGGTATGGTTGTAAAACACTATTTTATTAATTTGCAGTATGGATGGATCAGACATATGTTTTGAAATCGTCCGTAGAGCTACAGCAGGTTTTGTTTACAGTGAAGCAGTAGCAAGGTAATGTATTTTTATTAACCACATTAAATATTTAAAATATTTTTGGACTATTGTTTTTATATAAATAATTTTGTAGCCATTATATGAGACAAACACTTGAAGCAATCAGGTATTGTCATGAAAATGACATTATTCATAGAGACATAAAACCGCATTGTGTCCTATTGGCCACAAAAGAGAATTCAGCTCCAGTTAAACTTGGAGGATTTGGTGTAGCAATACAGTTGCATGATGGAAGCTCTATTAATGGAGGTATTCATAACCTCATAACACATTAAACATTGACTGTTATTGTTTTTGTTTTATTTTTTGTTTATTTTTGTTTTTGTTTTTTTTATTTTGTTTTTTTTTTGTTTTATTTTTTTTTAAGCAAAAAGTTTTGATGATTTGTCCCGACCTAATTTGAGTGCTAACGGCCAAGTTTATTTACAATCAGACAGACAGGGTAAGAGCACTTAAATGGGTTACAAATTGTTGTATTGTTGGTGTTGGCACACTATATTTTTTTATTTTACATTTAATATTTAAAAATAAAATGTAATTTAAAATTATTTATTTATTTTTTTGTTGTAATGGAATCAAAAATATTTTTTTATAACAATAATTATAAAATAACCATTTTAGGATTAGCTCTTTCAAAAACCAATTTCTGTTAATGATTTAAAATAATATACTATGTTGTGTTATGCTTCATTATTGATAAGTTATGAACCAATAATGCTTAAATCACAAATGTACTATACATTAAATTGACATTACATTTTTATTAGAAAATTTAAATTACGATTCAATTTCCAAGGTTGTATTGAAAAATTACATCATATAAAGCAATACAAAGAATAACATGATCAAAAATTTAAGTAAACTAGTTACTGTTTAAATACCGTTTACTTTTAAAGTTCAAGTATATACTTTGACAAAAACAAGATAGTTATATTAGTTGTCTCTTATCATTGATAATAGTTCTACAGTTCATGATTTTATACATTTGATTTTTTTTGCATGGCTTTGCGAATAATATTTTATATTATTTAGTATTAATATTTAATTAATAAAAACATGTAAGATTTATTTCTGAAATTTCTTTTTACTATGTACAATTTTGCACCTTCATGTTTTTAGCACACATTCTTATGCTCTATGATAATTTACCGGATTTGGAAAAATTGGAAGTTGCCGAGTATCAAAATGGTATTATTATGAATTAATTTTCAAAAATTAATTAGCTGGTTGTTGAACTAATTTTTGGAATTTCTAGGCACTCAAAAAAATTAACTTGCAATTAGTTATATTAATGTTATGTTTGAACTTTGAAAATTAGTATTATTTTATTTTTCTAAACAATTGTTTTATTTATTGTTATTAATTACTGTACAGCTTTATTACATTATTTAAATATCTTAAAAATCAATTGACATTTTTATTAGATAACTATAATAATATTTTTTGTTACAAATTAATGCTTGACAAAATAGATAAATAATTTTAAATTTTAGTTTTGCTTATAAACATTTAAATGATAAATAATTTAATAATTTTAATAACATTAACAACATTAACATTAACATAGAGCATGGTTTGAAATATTTTGGTGCTAAATGTATATATTTTTAAAAATTAATGCCTTAGATCGATAGAGAAGAAATTGAATTTATTTTTATTTTTTTATGGGCACAATATTATTGTTTTCTTATAACTATTCTTAATCATTTGTCAAACACTAAATATGTTATGATACAATTTAATCAACAATATTTTGTCTAGCCTCTTTATACATTTTGAAGTATGAAAAACAATAATGAATGACATTATAATTAGATAGATTGTAGAGTTGAAGAATGTGTTAGATAGGATTTATATAGAACCTACATTACATAATATATTTTAATTTTAAGATTAAGAAAAAGGTGTTGGTATGAGTTGATAAAGCGTTTTAGTTGGTATAACAATTGTTAACTTAGAATTTTGTTTAATTCTTATAATTATTGAACTTGACGTTTAACAATATTTTAGAATAAATTGTGTGTTTATATTATATATATATATAGTTTAGCTAACAGTATTATATTAATATTTAATGGATATTGTGTTCTAAATTATTTTTATTTTAAACAAATTGTGTTTAACTTGTAATACTATCTGGTTCAAAGTAATAGGAAAATTAAATAAGTTAGGACTAAATATCTCTGAAAATGATATTACTTCCAACGCTAATGTATATTTATGTTTTTTTCTTAACATTTTCTTATTTATTACACTGATTTACCCCATCTCCTAAAAAGTGTTATTACCAAGTTTTGCAGTTTTGCATAGTTCATACCCCTAGAATTATGTTTATTAGGTATTACATAATTAACATAAATGTTAGATACTAAATGAGTGTATAATTTATGTTACCTGTTCAATTATGGATACATATTATATAATCGTTGGTTGAAGTTTGTTTCCTAAAATAAATATATTTAGAAAAATTATAATACTATTACTTAGCTTTAAAATATATAGTAGTTAAATTTATTTATTTTATCTAACGGATACATTTCTTATCAGATTTAGTATTTTATTCCAAAGACTCGTATCTAATATCTTAGATAGTATTATATAAATAACTGCTGCAGGGCTAAACTGCAACTAACAATTACCGCACTTAAACAATTCTAAAATCATGGTCACAATATAATTTTTACCATTAGTTATTTCGTAATCAGCCTTGGCAACCAGTAATACTGGCTATTTTTGTTTAAAAATTATAGGTAGTTCTTTTAATTTTCTTCTATGTATTTTTGACTTGGGATGGATGTGACAATTTTATTTCTAAATTGTATCTGATGCATGATGCCAAAATATAAAAACAATAAATTCAGGTGGGTATTTAATTATGACTATATATAAAGAAAAAAAATATTAATTCATTGGATATTTTTTTTTTGGTAGCTATGCTGTTTATTAAATACAATTTTAATTTCAAATGTAATCTTCCAATAACTAATTTAATATTTATATTCTTTTTAAAGTTATTAAAAGTGAGTGTTAAAAATATAAAAGTCAAGCAAAATAATACATAGAATGGGGAATGTTCTTGTCTTATATTATGTCATTAAATTATTATTTTGATTTTGAAAAAAAATTGATGTTTATTCAAAGCATTT